GCCACCGCCCGCCCCTCCCCGCCCTGGCCCTGCGGCCCGCGATAGGAACGCGGAGGCTGGCTCGCGCCGGGGACCTTGACGGGGGCCGCTTTGGGATCATAGCTTCGCGCGAAGCCAAGCCCATCTCCCGCGCGGTTCGACGCGCGGGCCCCGGCGCCCGCGCGGCCGCGCGCCCCGCCAGCCGCGGAGCGCAGAGCTGGCGGGGGCGGGGGGGCCGCTGCCGGGCGCCGCGGCCAGACCCACGCGCGCGGCCCTGCCCCGGTCGCAGAGCCAAGGAGCGCAGCTGGGACCAGGCGGCGGCGGGACAGGCAGGGCCAGGCGCGGCCCGCGGGCGCAAGGTCGCGTCAACTGCCGCCCGCGCGGGGAGCCGGGGCTTGAACCCAGCGGCTGGCCTCGGCGAGCCCCGCGCGGCAGGCGGCGAGAAACCGCGCGCGGCGGGCGGCGGAGGCCCGGGAGGCGCGCGCGCGGTGGAGCCGCCTGCGCTGGCGCCCGCGATGAACACGCACTGGCGACTGACTCACCCTGGCCCCCACCCCGCCCGCGCCTCTGCTTTCGGCCACGCGCCACGGCCCCGTGCTAAGCCGCGCAAAATGCGCGAGAAGCCCGCGCGCCCCCGCGCGGCCCCCAGCGGGCTGCGCTCGCGACAGCACTGGGACACTGCCATGGGGGCGAGCGCGGACAGCTCCGCCCGTAGAGCACGAGCGAGGCCCACCTTCATACTGGACCGACCCTGCGACCCGAGGGCCCGTGCTGCACCGGCACTTGCCGCCGCTCTCCGCAACGCGCGACGCCGCCCATCGAGGTTCCGGCAGCTCCCCCTGCAGTGCGTGCGCGGCCGAGTGTGGAGGGTCGCTGAGCGCAAACGGCGCGCGCCGCCGCCCTCCGCGACCCCGCCCCCTGGAGAGACCCCAGCAGGCACAGCAGCGCCAATTCTCAAGCGGTCTCCCACGGCGCCCCCCCGCCCCCCGCCGAAGCCGCCGCCCTTTTCGGGCCCGACAAGCGCCGGCGGCGCGGGGAGCGGCGGCGGGGCCGAGGGCGGCGGGAGCGGCAGGCGACCGCTCCCAGGCCCGTTCCTCCCCCAGGACGCCACCAACTCCGAGGCCGGCGCGGCGGCGCGGCTCTGGGCGCGCCGGCGGAGGAATGAGGCGACTGAGCCAGCATCGCCCCGAGATCCCCCCGAGGGGCGCCCACGCGCGTCGCCACCCCGGCGAACCACTGCGGCGCATCGAGGCGGGGCCCCCTGCAGATTGGCGCGGCCCTCCAGAGGAGGGGCCGTTGGCTGGGCCGCGCTGGCAGCCGGAAAAAGCTGGAACTCCGACTGGACCTCCATGCGGGCCATCGGCGCTCCGTCGCCCAGGGCCGCGGCGATGGCCCCCTCCGCCCGGGGCAGGGCCATGCCTGACCGAGGCTTCGGCCGCGCGCCGAGGCGGCTCCGCGCTGGCACGGGAGGCGCCTCTGGCAGCGGCGGGGCCCGCACCGGGAGAGGAAGGCGGTCCTCGGCGCCGGCGTCATCCTCCAGGCCGCCCCCCTCGAGTCCGTCCGCGGACTGGCACGGGGTGGCCCTCTCCGCGCCGGGCGCGGCCTTGTCCCCTTCGATTGGAGCATTGCCGTGAATGGCCACGCAGCCGCCGCGAAGGCCGACGATCTCCGCGGGGCGTGGCCAGCACGCGCGACCGCGAGCCGATCCGAACGGGACCAGCCCGTCAGCGCCGCTGTCGCCAAGAAGCGGGGCGAGACCCTCCAGATGCATCTCCGAAATCTCCAGGTCGACCACCAGCACAGGAGCGGTCGTGCTCAGCGGACGCGAAGCCGCGCCGAGCAAGGGCACGCTGACCACCTTGAAGGGGCCAGCTAGCCCCGAGAATCCCTCCGCCCCCGCCAAGCTGAGACATGAGCGGCACGGAAAGACCCAGGCAACGCCAGCAGGATACCCCGTGGCCGAGAGGCCAGAGGGATCGCGGCGCAACTCTCCTCGCCCTCGTCCAGCCGTCAGCGATCGCAGCGAGTTGCTGACGGAGAACCGAACCGGTGGAGGTCGGGCCAGACTGGCCCATCGGGGACGGCGAGCCTCCATGCCGCCGAAGCAGCGACCGCCATGGCTGGCGACGTGAGCGCTGCTCTTGGGTGGGAGCTGCGGGCGGGCCGTGCGCAAGGGCCCGCGCACGCTCCTCAGCCCGCGGTCGTGGGCCGTAAGCCAGGACGCGCTGCGCACCGCGACCACGTCCGTCGAGGGCTCCAATCGCGGTCCGCGCGCGAGGGAGGCCAGTCAGGTCGCACCAACGGGTTGTGAAGGCTCCGATGCAGCAGCCACCGCAGAGGCTGCAGACCGCAGTGGCCCCGAGCAGAGCCACGACCGTCGATAGCAGCAAAGGGGTCGCCTTGGCGCTCAGATTCACCGCCAACCTGAAGAAGACGGTGGGGCAAGCCGCAACCCGAGAGGCAGGGGGGCAATGCCCCCCGCCGCCCGAGTCGGTTTGAGCGGACCACGGGGCCCCCGCGGAGGGAACACTGAGGTCCGCAAGTGGGGAAGGCGGTTGGCCCCCGAGCCGTTCGTAGAGCGCGGCTCGCAGTCCCTGAAAAAGCAGTGCCCCCGCCAACTTGATGGCAGCCTGGGTGAACGCCTGCATGAAGCGCTTCGCCCCGGGAAGCCACGCGAAGGTTTGGACCATGAAGCTACAGAAGCCCAGACGCGCGCGAGGGGGGAGAATAAGAGAGAGCATGTGGTATATTGTGCGAGCAAGCTATGTGGTGCAATAGATGTGGTGCAAGATGTGTCATGTAAGGTATGCGGCGCAGGCTTCGCAAACACGGCGCGAGCTATGGTGCGCAATACGTGTGCCGTGAGCTGCGTGGTGAAAGCTATGTGGTGCTACATTACCCTTGGTGCAAATCGTGTGGGGAAAAAAAGCACCGATGCCGCTACTCCCTGGACCTCTCCCGGGGCGCGCTCTGACAAGCACCTCGAAGCGAATCTGGCGGTGGCGACGAGGGCCCGCGAGGAGGCCCAGAAGAGGGGAGAAGGGGAAAACGGGAGAGCGGGCAGAGCGCGTGGGTGTTCCGGATTCCATAATAAAGTAGGGGGGGTACATTTGGCGGGGGGGTCTGATTTGAGCTGTCTTGAAGGGTTAGGGGGGGTCTGGGCAAAGTGCCGCCCTTTCATGGATGGTCTGGGGGGGTCTAAAACTTGTGGTCTGGGAGGAGTGCGACCCCCTCCCTTTTATTACGAAATCTGGAGTGCCTTCTCCTCCTCCGAATGTGGCGCAACGTCTGTGATATGCAGTCTGCGAGGCCCACGCCAACGGCACGGGGCACCCGCGAGGCACCCACACATGCCGGGCAGGACGGCCGAGAGCCCGGAGAAAACCCCGGCGGACGCGGGAAAAAACACAAAACACACACACACACACACAAAAAAAAAAAGAAACACACACACACACTGTGTTTTTGTGTGTTTGTGTGTGTTTGTGTGTGTTGTTGTTCCCACAGTGTGTTTGTTTTCCCACTGTGTGTGTGCGTGTGCGTGTGCGTGTGCGTGTGCCTGTGCGTGTGCGTGTGCGTGTGCGTGTGCGTGTGCGTATGCGTGTGCGTTATGTGTGAATGTGTGTGAATGCGTGTGTGAATGCGTGTGTGTGTGTTGTGAGTGTTGGTGCGTGTGTGTGTGTGACTGTGTGTGTGCGCTGTGTGTGTTGGTGTGTGTGTGTGAATGTGTGTGCGTGTGTGTGCTGCGTGTGCTGTGTGTGCTGTGTGTGCTGTGTGTGCTGTGTGTGCTGTGTGTGCTGTGTGTGCTGTGTGTGCTGTGTGTGCTTGCGCGTGCGCGTGCGCGTGCGCGTGCGCGTGCGCGTGCGCGTGCGCGTGCGCGTGCGCGTGCGCGTGCGCGTGCG